TTTTTTTTTTTTTTTTTTTTTTTTTTTTTTTTTTTTTTTTTTTTTTTTTTTTTGTTACCAGGATGGAACTTGGGTCCTTGCACTTGTGAGGCAGGCGGCATGAGCTAAAGCCCCGGCCCTTCTGGGGTTTTGGTTTTGTGTCTGGAAATCGGAGACAGCCAAGTGTCCCATCCCCGGTGTCTTCCAGTAAAAGGGGAAGTTCAAGGAGATCAGCAGCACACTGGGAAGAGGAACCTGAAGGCGGTGCCTGGGCCCAGATCCTGCGGCCTGCTTGTCAAGTGTCCCCCTGGCAGGCTCAGCCTGGCCTGCAAGGGACGGGGTGGCTGTGTCCTCTGCCCATCCCGGCAGCTCGGGAGAAGGAAGGACAGTGGGCCTGCAGACACCGCTCTCTGGAGCTACGGCTGCAGGAACCGCCCTGGCCTCTGTGACCTCACAGCGGGGGTGTGGATGACTTGCACGTTGCCCTGCGAGACCTGGGTCCAGTCAGAGGCCAGAGCCGCACCTGGAGGGCAGGTCGGCCCCTCCGGGAGGGAGCCAGAGAGCAGGCTGCTCCATGGAGGCCCAAGTGTAACCGGGCGGTCCCACCATGAAGAAGGTCAAGAAGAAAAAGGCCGAGGCCAGGCGCCGCCGCGAGTCCCTGACCCAGCGGGCCAGCTCGGACTCCAGCACACAGCCCAGCTCCGACGCCACGCAGCGGAGCCCAGAACCCAGCACGCCGCAGCCGCAGCCGCACCCGCAGCCCAGCACGCCGCATCCACGCCCGGAGCCCAGCCCGCCTCGGCAGGAAGCCCAGGCTCCCGCGGCACCGGCCCCCGAGACGCACCGCTCCTCCGGGAGCCTCTCCCCCGCCAGCCCCAAAGCAGCCGCGCCGCCCCGGAAAGCAGGTGCGCGACCTCTCACCCTGGCAGGCCAGGTCCGCTCGGGGTCGCGGTGCGCCGTTGGTATGTGTTCTGGAGCTGTGCCTGTGACGTGCAGGTTTCTGTTTTTATCTGGACGCCAAAGACCAGGATTCCTGGGTTTTGTGTGTTTTCAGCATCCCAAGACTCACTGAAGAGAGCCATGCATATATTTTTATGAACCTTCATCTTGGCTCTGTGGCAGTATTGGCCCCTTAGGAGCCAGCAGTAAGGATGCATTCTATAGAAGTATACAGTTTAAAACAAACGAGCTGGCCACCTGTTTTACTCCGTCTTCATCAGGCCGTCCTCCTGGGCTGTCAAAGATGCCCCACAGCCAAGACCGAAGAAACCAGTCCAGGGCAAGGGAGGAGAAAGGGGCGGGAAGGTGAGAACCAACCGAGGTGTGTGAAGGTCTGTCTGCCAGGAGTTACGGGATGTCAGTCGGGTTTGAGACTGAGTAGTTTGGCCCTTTTATCCCCAGGAGTCTGACTGAGGGCCCATGGAGAGAGTGGATGAATACAAACAGGATTCCCAGGGCCAGGGACTTAGCTCAGTGGTTCTGCCACTTGCCTTGCAAGGGCAAGGTTCCAAGTTTGATCCCTGGAACACACACACAAAAAAAGAACTGCATCTTCAAACAGGATTCCCAGCCGGACTTTGATTTCAGATACATACATTTTCAGTACTCGTGTCCCAGATGTTGCAGGACTGTCCCGCATTTCTATTTGCTGACTTGGCAACTCCAGAGACAGATTTCTGCCCAATGTAAAAAGCTTTGCAGCTATCAGATCTTCCCTAAAAGGGAATGGCTATCTGGGAAAATGGGTCCCAGCTTCTTGGGTAACCAAGAGGTTGAGTTAGCACTGGGCTGCGTGGAGGGGACTCGGGTAGAGTCGGAGCAGGCAGTGTTGTTCTGGTGTTCCCCATGGCGGTACCTACTCCCTGCTGTATCGCCAAGCATTTATTGTGTGTCCTGCCATCGAAGTTCATCCTCTCGCCTGACAGCCTTATAGGGAAGGGACTGTCCATGTGCCCATTTTATAGGTGGAGAAACTGAGGCTCATGGGAGACAAACAGCTCACTCTGGAGCAGTCCAGTGGCATGGCCACTCAATTCCAGGAGACCAGCGGTCTCCCCAAGAGGAAGACATCCTTCCCACAGCCTCTCCTGCCTCTGCCCAAGCCAGTGCTGGGTGGTTCTGTGGCCCTGAGCAGGCCACACCCACTGGGCTGGTAAGAGCACAGAACAAATGAAAGTAGTGAGGAAAGCACTAATCAAGGGTTGCCATGACAACAGGTTTCCATGGCTAAGAATCCACAGGTCCTCGGCTTATGTGGCTATAGTTCTGGGTACACAGAGATAAGCGTCCTTTGGATGTGGGATTGTGGGAAGCCAAACTTTTCATTCCCAAATCTTGTAAAGACAGCATGGGACTCAGTCCCAGGAGGAGTTTCCACTCAAGGAGGAAACAAAGCAAATTCACTGAGGGCTGGGCAGTGACCCTGGTGGACACCTGCACTTCTTAGGGGAGATTTTCCTCCTCTGAGCCAGAATGGGAAGGAATGTTAGAAATACAGGCAGAAGGCCTTTAAATAAAGGAAGTAATTTCTAAAACCAAGCCTGCCTGTGTGCAAAATATGGTAGCTCAAACAAAGATAAGTCCCCCCTAAGGTGACTAGCATCAAAAAGAGGAACAGTAGAGCCTGGGACAACGGGACAGTGGTGCACAACTATTACGGCTTCTTGGAGGCTGAGGCAGGAGGATCACAAGTTCAAGCCCAGCCTGCACAACCTAGCAAGATCCTGTCTCGGGATAGAGTGCTTGTGCAAAGGCCCTGGGTTCCATCCCCAGTATAAATAGAAAAAGAAAAAATTGCACAATCTCAAGTGTTAACAATGTGAAGAGACTGGAAACGTTGAAATGGTGTGGCTACTGACAAAAATTGGAAAAGTGGCAGTTCCTCAAAACGTTAAAGAGTTGTCATCAGGCATGATGGTGCACACCTGTAATCCCAGCACTCGTGGGCCAGGGCAGGAAGTTCACCTTCATTTCAAGGCCAGCCTGGGTTACATAGTGAGTTCAAGTTCAGCCTGAACTGCGTAGTAAGACCCTGCCTCAAACAAACAAACAAACAAACAAAACTTGCCTTATGACCTAGCAGTGCTACTCTTTCTTGAGCACAGACACAAGAGAATTAAAAACCCAGTTGGAAAAACTTGTACAAGAATGTTCACAGCATCATAACCAAAAAGTGAGAGCCGCCCAAGTGCTCATCAGTGGACGGATGGATAAAATCTGGGCCGAAAACAGCACAGTGCAGCAAATGCAGTGAAATACTACCTGATAATAAGAAGGGTGAAGTACAAATACACACTAGATGAACTTTAAAAAACAGGGCTAAATGGAGGAAGCCAGGCCCCTCCAACATGATTCCTTGTATCTGCATCTGAAATGCCCCAAATAGATCACTTCTTTTGGCCAGGGACTTGAGGGAGGAGGAACCAGGGAGGGAATGCCAAGGACGATGTGATTTACTTTTTAGGAGATGAAAATGTCCTGAATTTAGGTAGTGGTGAAGCCACTCAACGCTCTTGAATGAGTGAATTTTATAGTCTGGAAATTATCAATTTTAAATTTTTAAACTAAAAATAGGGAAACAAAGATGCTCGCCTTGGGAATCCCTTCCTTCCTCATTCCAGGAAAGGCAAGTGTCCCCCAGCAGAGTTTGCAAGAGCTCAGGGCTCTGCGGATCTACAGCCCCCACTAGCTGGGTTGATTATAGCAGGAAGTTTCCCGGCCAGAAATCCTCCTTCCCGGCAGCAGGAGGCGCCACCTCCACGTTCTGCTGGGATTCTGCCCTGAGGACAGAAATGAGAGATTCCTTTGAGAAGTTTTCCAGGACTGTAGACCAGAGCAGCATTGTCTTCTGCATGGATCAACCCTGCCCCCATGAACGGAACATGGCAGCGTCCCTGCCAGGAGTCTCCAAGCCCCCTCTCATGGGTGGGCAGTCATCTGTGTGTGTCGCCTCCAGCCAAATTCGTGGCCCGTTTTCACTGACTGCAAAGTTAGACATCCTGAGTTGAAGTCAACTTGGGCAATCTGCTTGCCGTCAGGGCACAACCCTTATATCCTTTGAGCCTAGTTTCCTTATTTGTAAAAGGAGACTGACAATATCCCACTTTTCGAGGTGGGCGGTGACCAGAAGTGTGGGCACGGTGCGGTATAAGTGGTCATTACGTCATTTATGTTCCCATGTTCAGGAAGGGATCGTGGGAGGGCCGAGGCCCAGCTTGGGTGGTCGGATGCCGCATCCCGGGTGATGCTTTAAACCCTCTACGTTTTCATGGTAACCCTGCTGCTGCACAACCAGGAGCGCAGCTTGGCTGTGAGGGAGCCTTCCAGAACTGTCCTCCTGTCTGTCCCTCATCTCTCCCCTTCTCTGTCTACCAGGGTCTGTGACGCCTGCGGGCCTGCGGCCCTGCTCCTGCGCTGCCTGCCCAGGCAGCTCCGCTTGCTGGCATCGTCTGGGGCTCTGCCACAGCCGCATCTTCGACGTCCTCCTGCCCCGGGACTGGCAGGCCATGCCAGGGAGAGGATTCCCCAACCTCCTCACCTTCTACAGGTTCCCGGGCTGCAGGGGCTGGCGCCTGGGGCTCAAGGTTCACAGGGCCAGGCTCTGTCTCTAGCCCTTGGTAGCAGTCGTGTGGGGACAACAGGCTAAAAGAAAAGGCTTTCCTTCCAGTTGCTGCTTCTGGGGTATGGCAGGCAGGCCCCTTTCGGATGGGACCTGCCCTGCCGTCTGGGGGCCCTACCCACCTGTGCAGACAGGTGCCTGTTTCCTTCCTTGCTGGGACCTGCTTCTCTGGCAGTTCGCTTTTCCTTTCCCTATAGAATACCTCCTTCCTCAGAACACACTCCCTGCCTGGATGCCATGCACCTGTAATCCTAGCACTCTGGGAGGCTGAGGCAGGAGGATTGCAAGTTTATGCCCAACCTAGGCAATTTAGCAACTTAGCAAAACCCTGTCTTAAAATTTTTTTTAATTCTAAAAAGGGCTGGGGGTGGGTTGGGGATTTAGCTCATTGGTTCTGCTGCCTGCCTTGAAACCACAAGGTCCAGAGTTTGATCCCTGGTATTAAAAAAAAAAAAAAAGGCTGGGGATGTGTCCTTGGGTTCAATCCCCAGTACAAAAACAACAGGAAAACAGCCACAGCAACTTCACCTCCTTCATAAATTCCATGGGACTTGGAATCTTTGGGAACTTTGACTTCTTCACCTGTATAGGAATTTCCAAGAGGACCAGGAATTTAGCTCAGTGGTTCCACTGCCTGACTCCCAATTGCAACATCCCAAGTTCGATCCCTGGTACAAAAAAAAAAAAAGTCCAGGAATTTCCAAGAATTTAGTGATAAGAACTGAGTGTGAATCATAAGCCCCCTCCGGGTGACAGGAAAGCCTCAGCCTCTCAGGGTGCTTCTGGGGTCTCCAGCAGGGCCGTGCACCCCCGGCCTGCTCTGTGGGTGTCACCCACAGTCCCACATGCTTGTCCTCTTCCTCAGAGCCACAGGTCCAGCCACCGGAGGGCCGAGGGTCCTCTCAAAGAATCCTGGGATCCTCCATGGCTTCAAGTGAGAAGGAAGAACAGTGTAGGGAGAGGAAAGGCAAAAATAAGGCTCAGAATTAGGATGGAATGAAATCTTGGCTCTTGGTTTAAGATTCACATTCCTATGAAATAATCCCTACCTTTGCAGGACTTGCCTTCCTGGAAATGATTGGTGTAATCATCTATTTTTGCCTGCCTTTCTAACAGATGTAGTGTGTTGTTTCCTGAGGTTCTTTATCTCTAAACTGGTTGGTAGTACACACTTGTAATCCCAGCACTCAGAAGGCTGAGGCGGGAGGATTGCTATGAGTTTGAGGCCTCCTCATGCGGAGTTCAAGGCCAGCCTGGATTACACAGTGAGACCATGTCTAAAAAAAAAAAAAAAAGAATAAAGAAACACAGAGGAAGGAATCAAGCGCTAGGACCTACCCCCCAGGGTTGTTGTGAGGACGAGAAGGGTTGTGGGGCACAGGCCTGGCACACACCAGCCACATCCACCCTTGTAACCTGCCCCTCTCTTAACGCCAGAGTAGCAGATGTCCCAGGGGAGGAAAGTAACGTTCCCTCCAGAGCAGGATCCACCAGGGACCCCATAATTTCCACTTTCTCCCAGCTGCAAAGTCCTCTTCCGAAACCCCTTCCTGCTTGCTTCGCAGAAAACCTCCAAGGAAACACTGTGCTCCTCGTAACTCAAGCACTCCGAGCCCTCGGGACTGTGGCTGTGGCTCTGGGGGCCCTGGGGGCTGCCTACTACATCACTGAAGCCTGGTGACATCCCCCAGTCCAAGCCCAGCAGGCCGGCAGGTAGGAGGAGCCCCTTCTCTGCATGCAGGGAAAGCTGGGGCAGGACTGTCTGCTCCTGGCCTCTCAGGTAGCCTGGATGCTCACGGAGGATATTGGGCCCATTGTCAGGGCAACAGAGCCAAGCTTCTACCTCCTCCTGTGCCCTTCTTCCCAGGACGGCTCCCCTGGTCATGGGTACTGGCCAGGAGGGGATGAGAGGGCTTGGGCCAGATTATCCCCCTACCTATCTCAGGGTCTTCCTTCGCACTTGGAAAGCTCGTCCCTTTCCCACCTTTGGGATCCACCCTCCCTTCCTAGCCTTAGCCCCCTTCCCCTCCACCTTCTTCTGCCTTCCTTCCGTCTTCTCCACCATGGTCCTGTCCAGGCTGTTCTGTGTCGTGCTGTAGATGTCTCTTTGGTGCCTGTATCATCTGACTTCCTTCCCACCTGTGTTGCAAGATCCTGGGAGGCAAATGGCAGGCCTCACACTGCCAGGTTTGCTCTTCCCCCAAGCAGAGCCTGAAGCAAGGGTTAGGTCGCTTCAGCTCCCTGCGAGACCCTTGGTCCTCAGCTGCAGCGTGGGGTCAGGGAGCGCATGTCTTTATGGAAAAGGCAGCTCCATTCTCCCCTTGAACTCCACCACTCGCGGAAGTGGGCAGGGATCGGCCACCATCTATTGCGTGCTGAGAGTAGATGCTCAGCTCTCTCAAAAGCTGAACCCAGGAAGTGACTCCTGCAGTAGAACTCGGAGCACCTGCAGCCTGGGCAGTACTACAGCCGTTAAGAGCCTCCGTTTCCCCGCCTGTGACTAGGGCAGTCACAGTGCCTGTTAACCAAGCTGGGTGGGAGCTGCGGGACAGAGCTGGTGGTATTGCTGTCGCCAGCTGGTTGGAAAGATACTGGCGTGGAGTTAGAGCTGGTGACTTTCAGCCCTGGCAGTGCTACCAGAGGGCTGGGTGCTGGGCCAGGATCCTTGGCTCCTTGACTTTCAAATGGAGACCATGATGGTCTGTGACCTGTGACACTTGTAATATCACTTCTTATTTTCCTTTAAACCAGCTCGCTTGCTCTCTCTCTCTCTCTCTCTCTCTCTCTCTCTCTCAAATGACGTTCATTTTTTTGGCACTAAAGCTTGAACCCAAGGCTTTCACACTGAGCTTACATATGTCCCCTGCCCTTTTTAAATTTTTTATCTTGAGACAGAGTCTTACTAAGTCACGAAGTTGTCCAGGCTGGACTCAAACTCCTGATCCTCCTGTCTCAGCCTCACAAGTGCTAACATTACAGGCTTGCACCACCATGCTTGGCAAATGCATTTATTTTTAAAGGAGATTTAGTCTGGTCATAAACAAGTCCTCCCACTCGTCCTAGAAGGTCTAACGTTAGAGACAGCTGCTCTGCAGGAGCCTGGTAGTCTCAGCCTTGACACCTGTGCCCTCATGCGGCTTTTCACAGGCTGTTCTACAAGTGTTGGGGTCCACACTGAGACCCTGTCCTCTACCCCAAACGGAGGGATGGAAGTAGGAGCACGGCCACTTCCTCTGTGCTCTGTGAGCTGTGACAGTGTCCACCAGCAGAGCAGGAGGGGCAGCTGCCCCCCAAGCCCTGGGACTGGAAGTCACCTTAGTGGATAGAAGTCCCCCGAATTACATGAATTTGGAGGGGCCAGCCAGTGGCCACTGGGGGTCTGGGTTGGGACAACCATTGCTGACATCTCTTTGTTTCCCCCAGTACTAGGGAGTGCCCCCAGGCGACATCCCTAGTCCATTTTTAATTTGGAGACAGAGTCTCACTTAGCTGCCCAAGCCTTGATCCAACTTGCAGTCCTCCTGCCTCAGCCTCCCAGAGTGCTGGGATTACAGGCCATTGCCACCACAACCCTCTTGCCTGTGCCATGTCTCAGCTTCAGCAACTCCACCTCCTCCTCCTGTCCTGAGGGGCTGCTCTTAGCCCAGGGCTGTCTGTGGGCCTGAACGTGGGGTCAGGACACAGCTTTCTGGAGGTGGGTGGAACCATTCCAGGTGGGCTCTGCTGCTGCCAGGCCGCCCTACCACGAGTCACCTGAGACAGGGCCTTGCAGGGCCCAGAACTGTACCTGCTGGCTCTGGGGGTGGCCTTTCCCCGAGGGCCCTGGGGCTTGTGCCTGGTTGCTACTCAGTGCCTGGCTGCTGGAGATGGGTTTTAGCCGAGCTCAGTGGGTCTGGCATCTTGAGACCAGGCCTCGGGTCCTCCTGTCACCCCCTGATGGAAGCACCCCCAGCCAAAGCCCATTAACACAGCAACACATCTGGGTCTTTGTACCACGCCAGAGTTCACTGAATACCAGTAGGTACACAAGTCGCATCCTTGTCACCAGCTTTCCTTCACCAGGACTTCTAACCTCCGCAGCAGTCGCCAGTTCTTGTTCCATCCTCGCCCCTATCACTCATAGCTAACACTTAACTCTCTTACGCTCAAATCCCTCCTCACAGAGCTAATTATAGGATTTAGGTTCTACAAGAAGGGTGCAGGATGTGTCAAAGCGGACATAATGCAGAGCCAGGCATGGCGGTGCATGCCAGTAATCCTAGCTCTCAGGAAGCTGAGGCAGGCAGCTCGCCATGAGTTCCAGGCCACCCTGAACTACACAGTAAGACCCTGTCTCCAAAAAATGAACAGGGCAGGGGGTTTAGCTCAGCGGTGCTGCCGCCTGCCTGGCAAGCGGAAGGTCCCAAATTCAATCCTCGGTACCAAAAAAATAAACAAAGAGCAGACAGATTGTGGTTCTAAAGTGGGCAGCACCAATGGCAGGGAGGACGGTGGTGAGCTGAATCCAGGTGCAGTCAGGCAGTGTCACCTGGTGGTGGTCCCTGGGTGGAGGCCACAGGGAGCACAGCAGAGTGGTCTGAGACAAAGTGACCGGCCAGGGCGCCGAGCTGTGGTCCAAAGCATTGGCCTTTGTCCATGACGAGCACAGGGCAGGAGTCACCGTGGGTCTGGTAGGTCCAGTCAGCTTCCAGGGGGTCTTTTTTGTTGTTGTTGTTGTTCTGGGGATCAAGTCAGGACCTTGCGCTTGTGAGGCAGACAGTGGCGCTGAGCTAAATCTCCAGCCCTAGGAAGTCATTTTTATTGGCACAGTAAGGCTGCGTGTCAGTCCGTGCCTTATGGCTGTGCCGGGCCATTGGTGCTGGTTTATATGCCCTGGAGGCTGAATTGTTGTGCCTCAGCCTTTGTACCCCATCTGGAGCAATTTAGGGGGACAAGACCAGCTGGGTGCTATACAAAATAGAGTCGTTCAGGACAAGCCGGCCAGAAAGCCGCTGCTCTAGACAGCAAAGGGCAGCGAGGCGTTTCCTAGAGCTGTGAGGACTCAGTAGTAAAGACGAAGTTGAGTTACCACACCTAGGTTTAACCAGTCTAAGACCATCGTCCCCAGCCAGGGTGTGGGCCACACATCCACACCAGGCAGGGCTCCTGCCAGCCAGGAGGGAGTGACAGGGGCTTGGGAGGAGGCCCTGAGGGGGCACTGAGTCCCCTTGAGTTTAAGGCTTGGTGCTCAGTCCCTGTGGAAGGGAAGCAGGCGGTCTAGTGTTCCCTGTCCAGAGAGTGAAGAACCAGCCAACAACACTGGCAAAATTGCCTATTTGGGGAAAGACGCTTCTAGAATGTTTCTTTCTAAAACTCCGTGAATTCCCCACCCCCTTCAGCAAATGGGGAGGCATTAAAAACAAAAGGCTCCCTTGGGGCACTGATGGTTGGCAGTCCAACTCAGCTCTCCAGCGAGGCTCTCACTTGGCTTCTGGGCCCTCCAGGAAGGAGGAAAAAGCCGGAAACACCGACACGAGCCAGGCTGAAGCCAGGCACTGTGCCGAGGTCACTCGGCCTGAGCGAGAGTGGTCTCCACGTGGCTGTGTATGGCTGAAAGAACGGACAAGAGGAACAGATAGTTTACTCTTCCACCCACGGATCTTAGCTGCCAAACCCTCTCCCAGGAGGTGTAAAACTAGAGAGCCACCGGTGTTCTGGATCACAGAGAATTGTCTAAACTAATGGCTCTGTCATTCTGTTTTTCTTACAGATCCGGTTTCCATCAAAGGATCTCACTTGTCACCAAAATAGAAGAAAAAAAAAGGTTTCTTTAGTGTGTTTTGCTCAGGGACACAAATGGGCAGGGGCGGGGGGGTCCGTGTAGGGCCCTTGGGGACTCTTGGAGCCACAAGTAAACAGAGGGGAGCCTACCACTCCTGCTCGGGGCCTCGGGCCAGGTAGACCACTTCCCCGGCACAAGCTCAAGAGAACAAGTTATTTGCTCTAGATTTGCTTGAGTCCCAGTGCAGGAATCATGAAGCTTAACTGAGTAGCTATGGTCCCGTAGCCAGGCGTCCTTCTGGGCAGCGCTCATGGGAGTCGCTGGCCAGGAAGAACATGCTTGTGCTCATCTGGGCCCGCACCTTGGGGCCACACACTGTCTGAGGAAAGGGCCTGACCTGCAGCCTGTGCTCAGTCTGCCCAGGGCCCACGGGCCTTTCCATCCCGGATAGAAGTCCTTTTCGAGGTGATCTCAGCAGAGAGTGCAGCAGCAGGGAGGTTGCGGAGGACTCCCACCCAAGGGGGACGCTGAGTATTTACCCCCACCCCATCTGGGAGGCAGGAGGCTGTTACCCCTGTGCTTTGTCCTCCTCCGGGGAGGAGCCCCAGGCAGAGTGATGAGACAATCGCGAAGCCATAACCACCCGTGTCTGGGGTGTGGAAGGCCAACCCCACACGCACATAACAGCCCACAGAGCCACGTCCAGGGGAGCTGAGCCTCTGAAAAGTGGCCAGTGGAAGAGGTGGGCACAGTGGCCCATGGCTGTGGACTCTCGGGAAGGGCTATTGCCCTTGAGACCATGTTGGATAAACTGAGATTGGGGTTGGGCCCTTGTGTGCAGGGTGGTTTATCCAGGCGATCACTGGATTGCTTCATTTGCTGCCAGTCACAACCAAGCCTCTGATAGGTTCTTCTGAGATCAGAGAGTGAAGCAGGAAAGAAGAGCAAGCAGGTTGTGTATTGAAAACAGCGCCGCAGCTGAGTTGGGCCCAGCCTGGTAGAAGCTGGCCCCGGGGCTCTGCATCCTCACCAGCCTGGGTGGGCTCAGCCCTGGCCCTAAGTGTGGTGTGGAGCCCACAGATGGGTCAGCATGGGGATCCAAGCCAGCATGGGAGAGGCACACGGGCTCCGTAAAGGAGCAAAGGGCGGACTCAGGTCCAGGGAGCGCGTCCTCCTGCAGCTGGCCATCTGGTCTACCCGGCTCCCGGTGCCAGGGTCTTGAACCAGCTGAAAGTGCCCAGCAAGGCTCCACCACGTCCTGGAGGACAGCCACCCTCCCACCGGCCTTGCGGCCCAGTTCACAGCCTTCCCTGCACGACAGAGGAACACAACGACCCGGATCTAGGGAGCCAGACTGCCGTGCTGGGCCACAGTCAGGGCCAAGGCCCAGAGGGAACACCTGAGTCAGGGAACACCTGAGTCACAGCCTCTTCTACCTCCAAGTCCCAGCAGGACCGCCGGGCCCCTCCAGCTGCTTTGGCAGGGCCCAGCCTCACCAGGGGTGTTGTGGAGACCTTCGTCCCCAGGCAGCGCCTCTGGGCATGTGGGGACAGTGACTGCACCATGACACCACACAGCCAGTCACCAAGGGATAGCGCAGGGATGCAAGTGGCACAGTGCCCTTGCCAGTGTCCCAAGATGCATTCCCAGCCAAAGCCAAGTGGAACCAAGCCCGAAGTTCAAGGCACCTCCTTGAGAGCAGAGCAGGATTGGAAATAGTTAAAGGTGTCTGTTCCAGCTGAGTGTGGAAGTGCACACCTGTATTCCCAGCACTCTGGGAGGCTGAGGCAGGAGGATGGCAAGTTGGAGCCCAACCTGGACAACTTAAGGACTTAGTGAGACCCTGTCTCAGAATAAATTTTAAGGGCATGCTGAGGATGTAGCTCAGCATCGGTGGGCTTTGTCCACAACCTGTGGACAGGCAAGGTTTCTGTGTCAGGTACCAGGACAGAGGTGGCCAAGGGAAGTGGGGTGGCAGGTCATTTGGGGTCTGTTTTGTGGCTTCAGTGATCAGTGTGTTGTATGTATTTGGGGGCATTGTTTTTCCTATGGGAAATAACAAAAGATTCATGTGATGTGTCCAAGATTTGATTTCTGTGTTACACCCATCAAGGTTAACAATGCCTCTCAAGAAAGGGAATTGCTCCAAAAAAATTTTTATGGACCTTGGACTGTTAAATATTTTAATTTGACCCAACAATTATCTAAGAAAATTCATAAATTATCCTCTGTACATATTAACCCTCTTGAGGTGGGTACTACTTTTCTTAATAGGATTTGGGAAAATCTGAAGAAGATGTTTGATCCCTCTTGGATTGTCATCTATGTCTGTTTAGGAGGTATTGTTTTGATTTTATTAATAAGTCTAAAATATTGGTTCCGAAACAAACAGAAGCAGGCTTATATACAGCACAAAACATTACATGCGCTCATGGCCCTTAAGGAAGGGTCCTCCGAAAATTTGGGCATTTACCTTGCTCAGATAAAAAGAGAGCTTCAATGAGGGTCCGGAAAGTCAAAGACAGGTAAGAGGAAAGGGTTTGACTGATCAACCTAAGACAGGGGCTTCTGTTAAATCTTCATCATGTAATAGGCCTATGAAACAGATGACCCCAATGACGGGTAAGACAGCCAAATGCTTTTCCCAACCTAAGACAGGCTCGGACATGCCTATAGTTTCTCTTAAGCTTCTTCTTGCTATGGAACCAGAGTTTTAAAACAAAAAGGGAGGAATTGTGGCAATCATGAGTATTGGTTATAAGTACTGTTAACTTTAGTAACTCCATATTTGTTAAGTTTCTCCAGTTTAAAAGGTGGTGTGTTTCCTTTGTGGAATTCCTGAAAGTTGCAGTTTCTTGTCTCTGACCTTCAGATGTGTGGTTGTCTGGGTTACTACTACCCACGGTGGTTGTTTTTGTTGAGCCTGTTTGCTCTTTCCTGTGTGAACTTTCATTTACTATGGTAACCCCATCCCATAATAGTTTGTGGTTGTTTTGCTTTAAAAGGCTGATGCTTGCTGGCAATAAACGTCGCCTTGATCAGACTTGTCTTGGCGTCCTTCCTTTCTCTCTGCCCCATCTCCACCCCGCTGCTCTTTCAGGTTTGAGGCACTGCTGGACAGTGCTCTGCGTCACCGGCTCGTGACAGTGATGGAATTAGGAAAGGATTTAGTTTAAGAAACTTCCAGCCAGCATAATAGTGCACACCTGGAATCCCAGCTACTTGGAAGGCTGCGGCAGGAGGATCATAAGATCGTGGCCAGCCTGGACACCCTAGGGAGATGCGCAAAATAAAGAATAAAAAGGGGCTGGGATTTAGCTCAGTGGTTCCACCACCTGCCTTACAAGCACAAGGTCCTGAGTTCAATCCCCAGTACCAAAAAAAAAAAACAAACCAAAAAACCAAAAGGGATAGGGACGGAGCTCGGTGATGGTGTGCTGTAGGGCCGAGGTCTCTGTTTGGCTGTTCACTGAAGTTTTCCCAGCTCCTGGGAGTGTCTGACATATAGAAAGGGGTCAACATTATTTTGTTTGGATTAGGAGGAAAGGAGGGAGGGAGGGAGGAGAAAGGACAGAGGTGGGCGGTATCGGGTCACTTTTCTAGGAAAAGAAGGCCACATTGGGAAGCACTTTGTTTTTCTACTGGCGCTTTGTTTTAATCTTCCATCTGTTTTGTTACTCGTCGTTAGCATCAAACATAAAATCAGCGGTTGTTTCTTGGTCCACCGGTGAGGCCAGCCCTGGATTCGGCTCACCTGTGGTGCCTCAACATGATCCCAGGGATGCAGGGATCGTAGCGGCCCAGTGAGTTACTAAATGCAGGCTGGATCTCCGGCTCCCCTGTAGCCTTGGGACTCTGACACAGCCCCGTTTGTGGGGCCGCTCAGAGCATCTGTGCCACCAGCTTTGCTGGCCCTGAACTCACCCGCCTGACTCATTGCTGAGGACACTCAGGATTTGCAGTGGGGTCTAATGGCTTTTGCACCGCCCGCTCCCAGAGGCCCCGGGGAGCAATGTCACCAGTCATCGCCCTGCCTACAGCTGCAGTGACCTGGGATTCCAGGAGAAGCAGAGCCTGGCAGACCGACCCCAAGCAGCGACAATTACCCCATGACAGGAACTGAGGCTGCCACCCCAAGAGGAGGCGTCTGCTCGGGGAGGGAACCTGAACTGCTCCCCCAAAGCGATGATGGCTCCCCAAGACCTCTCAGAACCTGCCCTGAGATGCAAAACTACCAGCCTGCAAGGTAACCAGGGTTACCTGTGCTGCCAGCCCTCCCTTTTTCCCCTTTCCTACGAAACCGCAGGGTTCCAGCCCCCTGAAGACAGACCTCCAGCCTCCTCATCTGCGCCTCCCGGCGCCTGACCTTGTGCCTAAAGCCTCAGGCACACCCGCCCCACCTCCTCACAAGGTCACAACCCCGTGCAGAGGAGAGCTGGGAACACAGTTTGGCGCAGCCACCAGTGGGAATTTACCCCCTGCCCAGCAGCTCCCTGGAAACTCCCGGGAGAAAGGCCTGCCCCGCTCAGCCTGGCAGCCCGGGCTCTGGCGAGGGGTGGGGTGGGGGCACTGCAGCTGCAGGGGAAAGCAGCTGGCCCTTTCTCTTCCTTCTGGGAGCAGCAGACAGAGAGCCCTTATTCACAAGCCCACTGTTGAATGCTTTCTACAAATGCAAATCTCTCCCAAGTGGGTCCTTCTTTTCCAATCCTTCCTTGCTCCCTGCTCCCACTGAGGGCTGAGCCAGGGCCGGATTTGGATTCCAGATTCCACTGGGCCCTGGGCCGAAGGCTCCCCCAGAAATAATGCTGGCCTGGAACGGACCCTGAAGGAAGGGCTGGGCCCTTTCCCACTCACAGGTACAAAGTGTCTACCTGTGCTGTCCACCGCCCGCCTCTGCTGGCCTCGAGTTCGGTGCCACCCTGTGGGGCCACGTTAACCCCGGTGACTGGGACACAGCAGAACCCCTGCCCACCTGCCAGAACGCAAATGCAGTGGGCCATATAAGCCTCCAAGGAGCCCACCCCTCCCTCCCTGGGGTGGGCAGCTGCCCAGCAGGCTCTGGGTTTGGCTAGAAGCAGAACCAGTGAGAGGTTGTGTGACTGCGCCTCTCGCTACGAAGGGCTCAGCCAGAGAGCCCTCCCTCTGGCAACGCTCCACGCAGGCCTCAGACAGGACGGAGTTGAAAGAACCGAGATTCCTTCTCTCAGTACCTTCCCACCCCTGCCAAGACATTCTTCCCCAGATTCTATAGGATCTTATACCACATCTTTGTAACCTGTGTTTTCCACTGTTCAAGCAGGACCCTTCCATGCAATGTCAGTTTTCTTTAAAAAGCTGCACTCTGTCCCATCCAGTTGTCAGGGAAGTAGTTAGACATTAGCGGGGCCTGAGGGACAAAGGAGGAAGTGTGTGTCCAAAATAGTGCACCAGCCAGGCGTGGTGGTGCTTGCCTGAAATCTCAGTACTTGGGAGGCTGAGGCAGGAGGACTGCTGTGAGTTTGAGGCCAGCCTGCTATATAGTGAGTTCAAGGCCAGGCAGAACTGGATAGCAAGACCCTGTCTCAAGATAAATAAATAAATAAATAAAAAACAAGTATGCACTATCGGTTAATTATAAAAAGATTTTGATATAGAATCCATTTATGATCATTCTCTAGGTCTCAGCCCCAAAGCGATCACACTGCACCATGACATCTTAAGGTGACAATGTGCTCATTCCTTCTGACATTTGGCCACCGGCCACCTAACTCCAGAACAGGGCGGCCTACAGCCCAAAGAGATCAGGAGAGGAAAGGTTCTTGAAAGACCCTCCTGCCTTGGGTTTAGAGTAAGAACTTACCTTCTGTAAGCTTCTTACATGGTTAAAGCCCTGAGGATATACTGACCAACTAAAAAGACATAGAAGACGCGTTGCAAATCCTAAGGAGCTTCTAAGTAAAATGTTGATAAGCATCCTAAGTACCCCCGGTTGGACCCAAATGTCCTGAGTGGGTCAGGACAGAAGACGCCACTCTCTGTGTCTACAGTCACTTCTCGCTAGACTTCGGAACAGCCTATGTGTTGACTGAATTCTTCCATCTGGGACACAGAGTGCAGCCTTCAGCCTGGGAGTCAGCTCCGCAGACGACTCCTGCAGGGGGCGGGTGTTCTCAGAGGAGGAGCTCTCCGTGTCCCCGCCCCTAACTCCCCACTTCCCTCCCCAGACACCAAGGGCCAACGACCTGATCGATCACAACCACATCACAACACTAGAGTCCGCACTCATGAATAAACAGGCTTAAGCAGGCTTTTCAAATTATTCTAGTAAGCAGAGACTAAAACCAGGGACTACAATCAGATTCTAGCGGCTAGCTGGGAAGAGCCAAGTTTATCACACCCGCGTGTGGATGGGCTGACACTGGGAGGGAGGAACAGCAGCAGAAAACCTGGGAAGGAATCAGGCATATGTAGGTATTGAAGGGGTTAAGAATCTGGGGAGAAGTGCTTGAGATTGAGCCTGCACGGGTGTGTAGACAGTCACTGGACTTCTTGGCGATATACAATCTCAGGGGAGATTATATACTTCATTTTGAGTCCTCTTTACTGAGAAGCTGCTGCTGTTTGCTGAAAGCAGCCTGTTTGCTTTGTCCTGTTTGTTTAGGCCAGGCACGATAGCGCCATTAGAATGCCAGTCGGAGGGGTCCCAGAGCTGGATTGCTGGACTCATTCACAAGCCAGGAGGGGCCATAACTCCACAGACATAGGGGCCTGTGCTTGGGATCCTAGGGGACAAGACATCGCACGCGCCCTCTTCCCCTGGCTGTTCA